ATATGGAATCTTGGGCCGATGGTATTAGTGAGGGCTTGGCGAACAGCAGTTCATTAGCCACATTTAGTCTCACAGTTAACAATCATGCTGACATGATGGGAAACTGGGTGAGAGATATAAGTAATGGATTACAAAAGAACGGTTCCTTGACAACGATAAGAGTAGCATTCAGCTTGTACGGTGTGCACAGAATTCACTAAGAGCTCGTCCAGTCTTCCAATTCTCTGTTTTGTCAAATGCGTGTTTGAAACTTCCAAGAAAAACTGTATTTATTTTTACCAAGAGGACAAGAACATTTGTCGGTAAACGCTAGTAAGAAACACGGTCCCACGCGCCTTCTTATTCAACCGATGCATTGAAAACATCTTGTATGCCTGCACGAGGCAAGCGGAGAAATGAAACCGAAGTCGCCAACAGTTGTACAGTTTCTGTGATGTTTTTTCCCTGTTGTGAAAGTTTAGTAAGAGGAGGTTTCTAACCGCACTGATTTCAAATAACAACAAGCCTAGACATGGTGCGCTGTATCTAATTGTCCATGAACTTTCTTGAATTTTTTTTTTCCTGTTCCTCGAAATTCTTTATCCTGCCTATTTCCAAACCCAAACAACCATTAAAGAATAGGTACGTCACAAGAATGGCAACCGAGATTTGAAATGTACCATAGAATTTAGAAAGGACACCCAAGGTATACTGTAAACTGATTGGTATTGACCGGAAATTTGAAGTCAGTGAAACCCGGTTAATGAGAGAAATTACGATTGAACTGCGCAAATTATTGATAGCAAGCATCAAGTTAACGGCAATAGCAAGCGGCAAAATTGAACTGTAATGTTACCAACTTTTCCAGTAATACTCAAAGCCCTGCAGGGAGAAGATTATCTCGGTCGCAGTATATGCAAATATTTTGTCTTACGTACGCAAAAAGCGAAAAGAAGACGTTTAAGAATTTTTCTCTATCAACGATTTCCGTAAATGTCAAGGTTAAGCTTGTTGTCGACGGGTGTGTTTTCGCCAGGGGACAAGGGAGCCCCGAAACATCATCAACTCTTTCACTCCCACCAGTTACCGAGACAGAATATCTCCTTACCTTATCACTACAATATGAGGCAGACAAGTGATGAGAATAAAGAAAAATATCAATGAGGAGATTATTGGTGGATCAAATACTAATTTCTCCAAACTAGCATCATAACAATTGTATGGCAGACAGTAAGAAGAATTATGAATGAGGCTTGAGAATGAAAGGGTCGGCGTCTGTTATTTCTTCTGTGGGGTGAAAGAACATCTGGCCCGGAGAAAATTGAAAAAATAATCAAATTAAGGGTGTTCCTCAACTTAGGTGCTACACGAGAGTGACATAGAAGAGAAAAAAAGATTGGAAACTGACAATTGTAAGGACACCGAGAACGAAGCTAAAAGCTAGAGAAAATGTCAGCCATTTGGGGATTTTATTCCTATCTGTATTACTATCGGGGTTTATAAGTCCACGTTGGTAAATCAAAACCTTGTTCTTTTTCACCCTGCCCCTTGTTTTCTATTTCCTGTTCATCTATTTAGTGTCAATCGAGTTTTGTCTTGAATGATTGAGTTGAGTCCAATTTGGATCTGTAAGAAAACGTGTGATAAACCTTATGACTTGTAAGAGTGATCAGCCTTCTATTATCACCCTTGAATCAAGCATAAAGGTTAGGACTGTAATAGAAATGATCAGCAATTTAAGACGCTCCTGATTGTGAAACAAATTCTACTTGTTTTCTGTGACACCAAATTAACTCACACAAGGTCTCTGAAATTCCGGTTTTAATGCTAACAACTCCACTCGCTTCTTGCGACAAAAAAAAAAAACCAAGAACGTCACGGACACGTTCTGCACATGGTAAACTAATCTGAATAAGGGGAGGCCGCCAAGTCACACTCGTCATGAGCCGTCACGCAATGCAAACAAAACATTCTGAACGTTAGTGTTATGGGAATTGTTAAGAGGACGCTGTGGAGATGAGGAAAACCAATGTTTGGTTGTAAACGATGAAAAGCGGGATTCAGATTCGTTACTCATAAG